GCTGTAAGTTCAAAGCTAGTCTGGGCTACCTAATGAGTTCAAAGCCAGCCTAACTTACACAGCAAGACCCTGTCTCAAAACCAAAATAAAGAGGCCGGGGATTTAGCTCAGTGGTTCCGGTGCCTGCTTCGAAAGCGCAAGGTCACAAGTTCAATCCCCGGCACCAAAAAAAAAAAAACGAAAAATAAAGTGAAATGAATGTACAACAGTCTAAGTCTATAGGAATATAATATCTAAGAGCAACATGAATTTTTAAAAATGTTTATAGATGAATGTTTATTAATTATGAATTTGTTAAAGAGTTCTCCTAAATGACTCATACTTGCTGAGTCTTTTTTTTTGGTGGTACTGGGGAATGAATCCAGGGCCTTCATACTGAGCTACATCCCCAATCCTTTTTTTATTTTTTACTTTGACACAGTGTCTTGCTAAGTCACTCAGTTGCCCAGCTAGGCTCAAACTTGTGCTCTTTCTGCCTCAGCCTCCCAGAGTTGGAATCACAGTCATGTGCCACCATGCCTGCCACTTGCTTAGTCTTTGGATTCAGACTTTTTTTTCTCGGTACCGAGAATCAAACTCAGGACCTTCCACTTGCCAGACAGGCATGGCGCCACTGAGCTAAATCCCTGGCCTCACTTGCTTAGTCTTTAAAGATAAGTTTTAGTTACTTTATGGACAGTTCTTAAAGTAGTAATGTAAAAAATCAATAATTCATATTTTCCACAGTGAAGACTACTCTTGATTTATCTGTCCAATAAATATTATGGGCCCTGGCCCTGCTTTCAATGTTGAGAACACACAACAGAGAAAAGAATAACCAAGTTTCTATTCTTAGAAATGTATACTATAGTGTAAGATGAACAAGGAAATTAATCTTATGTAAAATAGCTTCATACTGTGATTCAAATATTAGGTTGACCAAGGTAGGTTTCACCTATGTAACAGTTCTGGGACTCTGTTTCGCTACTGCTCCTCAGGGTCGGAGGAGGTGACAAGGATCTCAGCCTGTGTGTTAAGGGGGCTTACACCTGTCATGGATATCAACAAGGGGAGTGCACATGGCATACTTTAGGTGGCAGCTCAGCACCATTTCAGAGCATTGGGGTCGGTGTTTGGGCTGAGGACTCAGCTGTCAATGGACAGCCAACGTCTGTGACTCTTCTCATGTACTAACTCTCCACAAGGTCCCCTTCCCTTAACCTTTTTGCTTCTTCACAGCTTCTTTCCTTCACATCCTTTCTTTCCTCCACCCAATGTCCAGGCCAAATTTCTCACTTAATGGTTGAGAGCTGGGGAGGGCTAGTCATTTGTCTTGTCTGGGGCTCCTCTCAGAGTTTTCCCTTATGACTTCAGTTTAAAGTTACAAACACTGAATATGGATTTTTCTCTTCACATTCCTGCCACAAGAATGTCATTCCTGGGAGGCAAGGAGAAGAGGATGTAAAAAAAATTAAGATGTGACATATATATATATATATATATTCCTCATGATGAATGTAAACATTATGTACTGAAAACATGTACTAAAAAAACACATAATTCCCCTTTTGTTTTGGTTTGGTTTTTTTGGTACCAGGGATCAAACTCGGGTCCTTGCGCTTGCACAGCAGGTGGTGAAACCACTGAGCTAAATCCCCGGCCCTCATAATTCCCCTTTTTTCTCTTGGAAAGTGTCCCAAGGTTTAATAAAGAAAAGAACTGAGAATGAAATTGGCACCTCTTCTACCACGTGGAGAAAGAAGTAAATGAGGTTTTGTTAGTTTGGCAGGCTACTTCTGAAAGAGTGATTGGGAAAGGACTCTGAGGAAGTGAGTACATTGTGGCTAGAAAGGTAAAAGGAAGCAATCAATGAGAGGGAAAAACTACACATGGGAAACATCATTTGGGATAGGAGAGACTCTGGCACATTCCAGGGACTGACAGGAGGCTAGGAAATGAAATAGAAAACACCTTTCCCTAATTTTTGCTTCAAAGATTCTACTATTAGGAAACTAAAAACAGTTACCAAAATTTGGGTTTGGGAAACTCTATATAAGCATTTTAAACTGTTCTTTAGAAGTTTATGAACGTTTCATAAATTGGGCTTTTCTCTTAGTTTATAAGCACATTCAGACATAGGTATTGTTCTCCTGAGGGTTCATACCCACAGACATATGGAACAAAACCTAACATGATAATGGGAAATATGAAAACAGATGACTAAAGTCAAGTATGTTTTTCTCAACTGTTCACAAGAGTATTACTTAAGAGCCTTAGAAAAATCATACAAATACTGGATGTGGTGGTGCATGCCTATAAACCCAGAACTTAGGAGGCTGAGGCAAGAGGATCACTATGAATTCAAGGCCAGCCTGGGGTACATAGTGAGTTCAAGAGCAGCCTGAATTATGTAGCAACACCTCGTCTCAAAAAACAAATGAAAAAACAAACCAACATACAAATAAAAATAATTATGAATTTAAAAAATTCTTATTAGTACATGTTTGCAGCACATAATGATTAAATTCATTGTGGCTAGTTGGTACATGTATAGAACAAATCTTAATTTTTTTATCCCCTTCCCCCCATCTCTTTGTCCTTTTTGCAAAAGAGTGATCTCTCTTTCCTAATATCTATCTTCTATTTTGCTCTTTGTTTATACTTTGGGTTTCTCATATAAGAGAAACCATGCAATATTTAAGCTTGTGTGTCTGATTTATTTCACTTAGCATTATGCATACATTTTCCATGATTCAAGTTTATCCTTCTTTATGGCACAGTAGTAGTCCACATTTTCTTTATTTATTCACCTGTTGATGAATATATAGGATGCTTCCAAGATTTCGCTATTATGGGTTGTGCAGGTATAAACATAGGTATGCATATATCACTGTAATATGATGTCTAATTCTTTTGGGAAGATACCTAGAAGGGAAATAGCTGAGCCAAATGGAATTTCTAGCTTTAGTTTTTTTGAGAAATCTCTATACTGATTTCTACACTTGATCTTAGCCAAAAGGCCGAGAAGCGATCCATACTCATTTCTATACTGGTTGGACCAGTGTTTATTCCCACCAACAGTGTAAAAGAGTTCCTTTTTCTCTACAGCCTCTTCAGCATTTGCTATTATTTGATTTCATGATGATGACCATTCTTTCTAGTACAAGATAGAATCTCAGTGTTGTTTTAATTTGCATTCCTCTAGTGGCCAGAGATGTTGAATATTTTTTCAAGTATTTATTGCCCATTTGTATTTATTTAAGTAGTTTTATTCATTTCAGTTGCCCATTTTTTGGGAGACTAATTTTTTTAGTTTTTTATTTATTTTAGATATTAGTCCTCTGAGGTATAGCTGGCAGTTTCTTCACTCTGTTGGTTGTTACCTTTGTTGTGCAGAAGCTTTTTAATTTGATATGATCCCATTTGTTGATTCTTGAAAAAAAAATTTTTAAGGTCATGGAAGAATGCTTAAGTATTATTAATTTTTTTTCCTTGAGACAGGGTCTCACTATGCCATCCAGGCTAGCCTTGAACTCCTTATGTATCACAAGCTGGCCTCAAACTTGTAGCAATCCTCCTGCCTCAGCAGATCAAGTGTTGGGATTACAGCCATGTGCCACCACCCAGAAATTATAGTAATTTTGGATTCAAAAGTATATATTCAATTATGACTTCAGTTATTTAAAATACAGACAATGGGAAAGAAATAGAACAAAATATTAGTAGCAATAGCTGCACAGTGGAAATCTAATATCTATATATTGGAGTTCCAGAACGAATGAACAAAGAATATGACTGAAATGTTCAATGAATAATTAAAAAACATTTCCCAGAACTGAAAGAAATAAACTGCCAAACTGAAAGGATTCTCTGAGCACTTAGCACAATGGATGAAAATAAATGCACACCAAAGCATAGCACTGCTGAATTTCTAGTCCAGCTATCGAAATGCTGTGCTATGAACAGGCATAATAATCTAAATACAGATTTTTGATTTATCTAAAAATTGTAATATTGGGTACACAAGGCAAAGCAAGTGGAGAGGATGGTAAACTTTAGAATTAAACCTTCATCTACAATAAATCAACAAATACTATCTAAAAACGGTAACAGTATATACAAATTCCTTGCAAAAATAGAAATGTGCCAATGCTAGATTAAAAAATAACTAAAAGAGGGCCGGGGATTTAGCTCAGTGGTTCCGCCGCCTGCCTGGAATGAGGAAGGTCCTCAGTTCAACCCCCGGTACCAAAAAAAACAACAACAATAAAAACAAAAACCTAAAAGAGTTGAAAGTGGTGGCTTCTTGGGTAGAGATCTGGAGGCACTGGGGCTGGATAAAGCAGATAATTTTTTGCTTATCTTATAAGACTTTTAAAACTACTGTATTTACCTTTAAAATACTTCCATGTTTTACTGTAAGAAAAATAAAATCAATTTAAAATAATTTATACTTGAAATACACACACTCTTAAAAGAGAAATGCTAGACCAAAGACATCAGCAGTAATGTTGCATTAGTAGAATTCAGATCAGTCACATCTACAATACTGAAACTAGGCTGGGTGTGGTGGCATGGCCTGTAATCCCAGCACTCTGGAAGGCTGAGGCAGGGGGTTCACACGTTTGAATCCAGCCTGGGCATACACCGGTAATCCCAGCACTCTGGAAGGCTGAGGCAGGGGGATCACACGTTTGAATCCAGCTTGGGCATTTTGGTGACCTAGGGAGACTCTGGGGATGTTGCTCAGTGCAGAGGGCCTGGGTTCAGTATCCCTGGGGGAGGTGGCGAGGGGGGGTGGTGGTGTCGGGGAGCAGAAGAAGTGCATAACTGCGGGGTTTTTTTGTACCAGGGTTCGAACTTGGGACCTTGCACTTGTGAGGCAGGCGGCGGAACTGAGCTAAATCCCCGGCTATAACTGCTTTTTAAAAGATATTTTCCTTGCTGAGTGAATGTTGTAGGGAATGAGAAAAGAGTAGAAGAAACTTAAGAAAACTGATGACCTCTTTTAATTTCTTCAGGAAAAAGATTAAAAACCTTGGACCAAGGCAGCAGAGTAGATAAAACACGCCCTGGACGTGGAGGAGCCAAAGGTTCTGGTTAGTATCAACCGTCCAGACCGGAAAGATCGAGGTGCAGATAAGGAGACAGTTTGTTTGGGATTGGTCCAGTTTAAAGCTACCAACGAGCCACCTAAAGCAAGTCATCAGCTGTGCACAATGGATATGATCAGAGGTCCGAGCTGTAGATGTTTTTAAACTGAGGCACAGAAAAGGTACACGAAAGCTTTCTACTGCATTTGGCTGTTACATAAGAGGCTAAATTGACTTCTAGGTTCCTGTTGGCTGTGTGGCCCAGAAGCGCAGCTCCAGAACCAGTTCAAGTCCCGGGCACAAGACATTCTCTAACTGGCCCAGTCTCCATTACGACGCTCTTACGGAGGGCCGGAGGCCACGGCCAGTACGCAGCAAGCGCGGCATGCTGGGAGTTGTAGGCCGCGCCCAGGCGCAGGCGTAATTTCCTCCAAGCCGGCGTCAGACCCGCGGAGCAGCGGCTCTGAAATCGCAGATCCTTACTTTGTCGCTTGGAACCATTTAGCGATGATTTCTCTTCAAGTCAGGGATAAATAAATAGTCCTCCATGTGACTTTCATTCAGTGTCTTCTACACTACTTAGAGCCCGTTGTACCCTTAGCTCTTAACACTTCCTAATTATTCTTTTAGGACTATTGTGGACGCTGCTCGCTGTGGACATCTCTTCTGTGCTTACACATAACTCTCACAATTTTATAATAATTACAACCACGGTCAGCCTTTCCTGAGCGCTCGCTATATATGCGGATTTAACCTACTTACCCGTACAAGCCCATCAGTTCTCAACACAGCCCTCTGGGACGTTTCCTATTATTTCCGTTTTCAGATATGGGTAACTTGAGCAAGGACCACACACTGAAGGACCACAGAGCACTCCTACAACTACCCCTCTACACTAGGAGTTCTGGGCCTGTGGCCCCTCCCGGCTTTTCACTTTACCGCGAGCCCACTCCGGAGGACGGACTCCAATGACGACACCACTTCCCATGGTGCCTTGCGCAACTGCGCTGCTATTGGCCTGGCAACTCTGCTGCTTTTTCAAATTGAGGCGCGGAGTCGTTGGTCAGGTCCGGGGCGGGGAAGTGATTGGAGATTCAGTTGTCTGGGTGTTAGGAGACTTTCTCCACCGCCTGTTAAGAGTTCCGGGTGGACCGGGGGTCGCCGAGCTGTTTGTGTGGATTCTCCTGGCCCAGCCAACACCGGGGCGGAGAAGTCAGACACCCAGGCCCGCGTCCATCGCTGAGCCCTCCTCACCCCACGCCGTCAGGTCTTGACTTTTTGGCTGGGACAGTCATGGCGTCCCAGCCGAATTCCTCTGCGAAGAAGAAAGAGGATAAGGGAAAGAACATCCAGGTGGTGTTGAGGTGCAGGTAGGGAGAAGCTGGCAGTGTTCGGAGCACCGGAGCTTTGCTGCTGTGCTCCCTTCTGTACGGTGCCGGGCGAGGGATATTGTTTGCATATTTTGAGGGGATCAAATCTGTTTCTTGGTTTCCCACATTCTGTTTGATAAAAATGATTCCAGGATGTGGTAGGATTCAATTTAAGGTTACTTTTTTTTTTTTTTTTTAAGACAAGGTCTCGCTATATACTCCAGGCTGTCCTTGAGCTTACTGTGTACCCGAGGTTGCCCTCGAGCTCTCAGTAGACCTGTCTCAGCCTCTTGGGATTACAGGTGTGCGCCACCACGCCTGGCTAGGGTCTACTTTTAGATGTTTATATGAGACAATAGTTAAATTGGTATTCAGAGAACGAATGTGAACATCATTCTTTACTGAGAAGTGCGTTATTTTAAACGTCGATAAAGATTTAGGTGTCACTTTTCTTTGCTACTTCAGTTTTTCACTATGGAAATAGGCTGCATACGTGTTTTGTAGATACTTTAGCGCTTACCTTGGGGTTGTCATCTATCACTTCGAAGTACGTAATCAATCATGTGTTCTCTTTCTTCTAAATGCAGTATCTTCATCTCTATTAACAAATGCACATTCCTGAATTTAAACATTGAAAGTTAAATTTAAAAGTGAGCTTATGAAGATCAAGACAACTTAAGTTAGTGTAGGTGTCTGGCTGCGCTGCAACTTTACTAAAGACATAGCAGACTAAAAGACAATTGTCGGGATGAGGGGTCATGTAGGATGTTCAGCTGTCCTCTCTGGTTTCCAAATAACTTTCTCTCCCCACCCCCCTCTCTCCTTTTTCTTTTCTCTTTCCTCCTCTTTTCCTTTTTTTTTTTTTTTTTCTCTTTTTCTTTTTTAAGATGGGGTCTTGCTATATTATCTATCTGGCCCCAAGTGACCCTACTGCCTCACCCTTCCAAGTAGCTGGGACTACCAAAAGTGCCATCTAGTTCCAACTTCTCAATTTTAAAATAAGGTAGTAGAGGAAGAACATAGTTGTAGAAACTGCTGCTTAGTTAGACGTTGATATACTGTGTTTAACTTTTTAGAGGCTCTCTGGAATTCATTTGTGTATGTATATTGTGTGTCTGCTTTTGATCCTCCAACTTTTCTGTGAATCCAGAAGTGTTCTAAAATTAAGATTATTTTGAAAAGCCTGTATCAACAAATTTTCTTAGATTCTTGTTAGCGTAATTAATTGAACTTTAGCTATCAAAGGTAACAACTAAGTTTCTAAACTAGGTTTCAGAGAGGAAACTTGCTGGTTATCTTAAGTCTAGCAAGGACACTTAGCAGTTGTGTTTTAGGACTTTTGTTAATAATTGCTTATTTTGAAGATTTTTAAAAAGATTTTAAATCAACAGCACATATTTCAAATGCAAATTTTAAAATAATTTTGTGTAATAAAGCCAGGCAATATTAACTTTCTACGTGCTTTTAATTCCTTTCATTCTTTTTTGGGGGGGGGGATAGGGTCTCATTAAGTATTCCAGGCTGGCCCTGAACTCACAATGTAGCCCAGGCTGGCCCCAAACTCATCACAATCTTCCTTCCTTAGCTCCCTGAGTGCTAGAATTACAGGTGTGTGCCACCATGCTTGGCATTTAATTTATTGTTGTTACCTGTAAAATATTTAAGACTTATATTATAAAGAACACTGTAACAAACATTTGTGTATCCGTTACCCCAATTAATAAATAAATAGATGGCTATTCCTACAGCCTCCTATAGATTCCTTCACTTTTCTCTTCCTTCCCAGTCAGATAACTGTTAGCTTGTAAGACATGCCTTAGATTTCTTTGACTTTATTAACAATGGAAATTAGTTAGGTTATGTCTAATATACGTACAATATTTTTTTTTGGGTACTGGGGATTGAACTCAGGAGCTTGTGCTTGCGAGGCAGGCACGGTGCCACTGAGCTAAATCCCTGGCCCTACGTACAATAATTTTGGTATAAAGTGGTTTATTTGCTTTGTATCTTTTCTTTTATGGTGACTTTTTTCTTTCAGATAGCCTTCCTGGTGCAAGCCAGAATTTCCTTCACTTTTTTTTTTTTTTTTGGTACCAGGGATCAAACTCCGGTCCTTTTGCTTTTGAGGCTGTGTAATATATCCTTGTGTGCATATACTATAGAAACCAACCTACAAGCTCAAACCTGACCAAGGGGTGACGATAATGAAAAATAGACACAGAAACAGGTTAAAATCTGGAATGCCAGGGGGCTTGTGTCTCCCTTGATGTAGAGCCCCAAGTGACTGGCGTGCCTTGGCTTTATTCACTCAGAGGCAGGCACAAGTAATTAGAGTTACACAGTATTCATCTGTCTTCCTCCCTCCATGGTACTTGTCTGGGTGAACAACAGGATCTCAGGTGTTTTTACTTTTCCCTGCAGCAGGTTGGCATGCTTGCATGCCCTCTTCTTAGTGCTCACTGAGGAGGCCAATGCCTCATTCTTCTCATGTGGTCTTCTACAATATACCACATTTTGTTCACTCATTTTTCAATGGACACTTGGGTTGCTCTCACATTTTAGATTTTGTGAATAATGCTGTTAGGATGTGAGTATGCAAATATCTCTTTGAACTCTGTTTAAAATTTTTTTGATTGTTTAGCCAGAAATAGAATTGTTAGATCATATAATAATTCTTGATTTTTTTTGAGGAGCTAGCATCCTGTTTTCAATAGTGGCTATATCATTTTACATTTCTGCTACCAGTGCCGAAGTGTCCCAGTTTCACCACAACTTCACCAATGTTTATTATTGTATGTTTTCTTCAGGGTAGCCATGTTGGTAGATGTAAAGTGTTATTTCATTATAGTTTTTGGGTTTTTTGTTTGTTTGTTTTTTGTTTTGGGGGTTTTTTTGGTACCAGGGATCGAACTCAGGGCCTTGCGCTTGTGAAGTCATTATAGTTTTGATTTGTATTTCCCATCTTTTCATGTGCTTATCACCGATTTCTATATCTTCTTTGAAGAAATATTTATTTAAGTCCTTTGCTTATTTTGAAATTGGACTTTATTATTGATTTTTAAGAGTTCTTTATTCTGGATATTAATCCTTTTTCAAATATATGATCTGTACAATTTTTATTCCATTCTGTGGATTGTCTTTATACTCTGTTGCTGGTCCCCCCATAGTGGGTATTAAACCAAAGGCCTTCATGCTGAGCTAAATCCCCAGCTCAGTTTCTTTTTTTTTGGTACTGGGGATCGAACTCGGAACCTTGCGCTTTCAAGGCAGGCGCCGGAACCACTTAGCTAAATCCCTGGCCCCCCCAGCTCAGTTTTTAAAAAACATCTTTCAAATGTTTTTATTATGCTCAAAGTCTTTTTGGCTTTTTTTTTTTTTTTTTTTTTCCCGGTACTGGGGATTGAACTCAAGACCTTGTGGTTGCAAGGCAGCCAGCGGCACCACTGAGCTAAATCCCTGGCCCTTGGCTTTTAAACTTTAAAATTTTCCCTCATTTAATGACTTGGTCCAGTTACCACTACTAGATCATTAAATGAATTGGACAGAAAATGAGCAATTGTATATAGTATGTACATTACAATATTCAGAACAAAGAAATGGTCAAAGGAAACTCCCCCTTGATGACTTTGCTTTTATTTGCATAACTCTTACATGCAATACTGTAATTTATAATGCAACATAAAACTATTGTACTGTGTAGTACAACCAACAGAAATTACAGTACTGTATTACCAAGGTATATTGTACCCAAAAAGATTGAGGCTTTATAAACAATATATACAGAACTGTACAGAAAAAAAGAGAGGTCATAAGTCCAAACAGTTGTCAAACAGGTCATTAAACAAGGAATATCTGCACATCTTTGTGGTATGTAATGTTTATTTTTATTATTAAACTTTATTTTAAAGAGTATGAAAATTTATTGGGAAATAGGAGTGGCTCCTGAGAGACAGGAGGGGTTCTGAAAAGGTTGCCCACTTTTTTTTTTGTACCAGGGATCGAACTCAGGACCTTGTCCTTGCAAAGCAGGTGGCAGAACCACTGAGCTAAATCCCCTGCAGGTTGCCCAATGTTTATATTTCTTGTGTGGAATTGGTATATGTCAATAACACATCTTAATTTCCTTTTTCTTCCCCTTTCCTTCCCCTCTCTCTGCTCTCCCTCCATCTCTTGATCCTCTTCCCATTTGAGAAAGATCTCTTGGCACATTTCTTATTTTTTTAAATTTTGAGACAGGGTCTAAGTTGATTAGACTGGGCTTGAACTTGCAATCCTCAGTCTCCAGAGTGCTGGACTTATACTCAGATGCCACCATGCCCTGCTGATAATGTCTTTTGATGCACAAATCTAAACATTTTTATGAAATCCAATTTGTCTATTTTTGTTGTTGCTTGTGCCTTTGGTGTGATATCCAAGTCATTGGTAAATCCAGCATCATGAAGTTTTTCCCCTCTCCTTTCTTCTAAGAGTTGTGTAGTTTTTGGTGTAAGATTTAAGTCTTCAGCCCATTTTAAGTTAGTTTTTGTACACAATGTTAGATAAGGGTCCAACTTCATTTTTTTTTTTTTCTTTAAATTTTTGAGACAGTGTCACCACGTAGTTCAGGCTGGTCTTAAATTAACTATATATCCCAGGCTGGCCTTGGCTATCCTCCTGCCTCAGCCTCCTGAGTGCTGGGATTTATAGTTGTGCACCACCATACCCAGCCAACTTTACTCTTTTGCATGTGGATGTCGAGTTTTCCCAGCACTATTTATTGAATGATCTTGGTGCCCTGGTCAAAACTAGTTTGCCTATTGGTTGCACCACCTGCCTCGCGAGAACAAGGTCCCAGTTCGATCCCCGGTACCAAAAAAACTAGTTTGGCTATATAGGGAAGGATTTCTTTTGGTCTATTCTCTTGCTTTGTCTGTGTTTGTCTTTATGCTAGTACCACACAGTTTTGATTACTGTACCTTTGAGGTAAATGTTGAAATCTGGAAGTGTGCATCCTCCAGGGCCTTCACACTTGAGTTACATCCCCAGCTTTTTTTTTTGGGGGGGTGGGTTCTTGCTAAATCTCTAAGTTACGCAGTCTGGGCTCAAATTTCTGATTCTCCTTCCTTGGCATCCCACAGTGCTGGGATTGCACATGGTTTTTGTTGTTTTGTTTTGTTTTGTTTGTTGTGATACTGGGGATTTAACCAAGGGGCACCGTACCACTGAAGTACATCCTCAGCCCTTTGTATTTCTGAGATGGTCTGAAATGATTCAGGTTGCACTGGAGCTCCAGTCCCCCTGCCTCAGCCTTCCACGTAGGTGGGATTACTAGTATGTGCCGCTGCATCGACCTATCTCCTTTCATTTTTCCTTCAGTCCCTCTAGCTAAGGGCTTATCAGTTTTGTTATTTTTTTTTAAATCAAATTTTTATTTCATTGTTTTGCTTTTGTCTTTCATCTTAATCTTTATTATTTACTTCCTCCTTCTTATGTTGAGATAACTTTGTTCTTTTTCTAGTTTCTTAAATTGTAAAGTTAGGATGTTGAAATGAGATCTTTGTTTGGTTTTGGTTTTGGTTTTTTTCAGACCTTCTCACTATGTAGTCCAGGTTTGCTATCAAGATCTTCTTGTCTCAACGTCAGGAGTGCTGGGACTAAAGGCATGCTTCTTCATGCCCAGCTGTGATCTTGGCTTATTTTTGTTGTTTTATTTTGTTTTGCCTCACCATGCTGGGGATGGAACCCAGGGCCTTGGGCATGCAAGGCCTGAACTCTACCACTGTGCCACACTCCTAAGATCTTATTTGTTCAATGTAAGGACTTGTAGGTATAAATTTCCCTCTTAGCCATGTTTTTGCTGTATGCTAGCAGTTTTGGTTGTGTTTTTTTGCTTTTTGTTTTTGTTTTTCTTGTGTGGGGGGGAGCGTTTTGAGACAGGACCTTGCTATGTAGTTCAGGCTAGCCTTGAACTATGTAGCCCAGGCTGGCTTCAAACACTCAGCAATCCTCCTACCTCAGCCTTTTAAATGCTCAGATATCAGGCATGTGCCACCACACCCAGCTTTTTGTAGTAGTTTTGAGACACAGTCTTGCTAAGTAGGTTAGGCTGGCCTTGAAGTCACTAGTAGCCCAGACTGGCCTCAAACTTGTGATTCTCCTGCCTCAGCCTTGTGTGTGCTGGGATTACAGGCATGCACTACCATGCCTGGCATCAGTTAAGTTCTTTTAACTTCTTCTCTAGGACAGTTAGAATTGTAATGTACACATCTTTGACAATTTTTTAAAAAATTTATTTATGGGAACTGAGACACTTAAAATTGATTCTGCTTTATCATTTAGTATCCATTTAATTCCAGTCAAAAACGGTATAGTCACAATTTCCATTTACATTTGTCTTGACTAATACAGATATTGAAAATCTCATTGTTAACCTGCTAACAGTTCTTCAGTAACTTTGTGCATTTCTTTTTATAGACCATTTAATTTGGCCGAGCGGAAAGCTAATGCCCACTCAGTAGTAGAATGTGATCAAACACGGAAAGAAGTTAGTGTACGAACTGGAGGACTGACCGATAAAAGCTCGAGGAAAACGTATACTTTTGATATGGTACTTAACTTCTTTTTTTTTTTTTTTTTTTACCGGGGATCGAACTCAGGACCTTATTTGTGCTTGTGAGGCAGGTAGCAGAACACTGAGCTAAATCCCTGGCCCAACTTCTTAGAAGGATGCTACTACTTGATTATCTATTACTGTAAAGTAATCCTAACACACATACTTTCCCTGGAATATGGTGTACCATTGTGAATTTCAGTTGGCTCTTTGAGTTCTCAGATGGTTTCTAATGGGCTGAATTGCTTAATATACTACAAGCAAAATTATTTAAATGAATAATTTTTGTTTCTTTAAGACATCTTTTTTTTTTTTAATAGGTTTTTGGAGCATCCACCAAACAAATTGATGTTTACCGAAGTGTTGTTTGTCCAATTCTGGATGAAGTTATTATGGGCTATAATTGTACTATCTTTGCGTAAGCAGAACATTATTTTTCAAGTTGATGAAAAAGTTTAGATGTGTGTGTGTTTAATTTTGATGTAACAGTGTTTTTAAATCTTGACAGATATGGCCAAACTGGCACTGGAAAAACCTTTACAATGGAAGGTGAAAGGTCACCTAATGAAGCATATACCTGGGAGGAGGTATTGTTTGTAATATAATTTTATCTCTAACGTGGCAGAAATCTAGCTGAATAAAACATGTTCTGGGCCTCTGTCTTGAAATACAGAATATCAGAGTACCTATGTCAGACATAAACTACTATAGTAAAATATATGGTAGGGATGGGTGTAGTGGTACATGCCTGCAGTCCCAACATGCAGGAGGCTAAGGCAGATGGATCTTGAGATTGAGCCCAGCATAGGCTATATAGCAAGTTCAAATATAGCCTGGACTATGTAGAGAGAACTTTTTTCAAAAACCAGAGAGAGAGAAATGTGTGTGTATGTGTGTATACAAATATATATGTGTGTGTGTCTGTGTGTATGTATATAAACTGCTATTTGAGAAACACATAGTTTCTTGGGGAAAGAGAAGATCAACACATAGGGCATAGTTGAAGTAATAAAAGAGGTCTCTCTGGGACAGAATTATTGGAGCAGAATGCAGTGCTCCCCGCGTATTTGTGTGGTCTAAGACTTCCAATGGATGCCTAAAACAGTAGATAGTGCCAAACCCTGTAATTCTGCATTTTTTTCCTGTATAGACGTACTGTGATGAAGCTGACTTATAAATTAGGCACAATAAGAAATTAATAGCAGAGATGAATAATAAAGTACAACAAATATAGCGGTGTACTATAATAAAAGTTACATGAATGTAGTCACAAAATATCTTGAGTAAATAATGGTTACTTGAACACTAGCATTCTGATACCAGAAGAGTTGATCTGATAACCAATAGGGCTCCCAAGTGACTAATGGCAGGTAGCATATAGTATAGATATGCTGGACAAGGGGGTGATTTCATGTCCCTAGCTAGATGAGGCAAGATTTCATCATTCATGCTATGCAGAAATGTGCATAATCAGCTAAGCTCTGTGGCACTTCCCTGTTCTCCCAGCTACTCAGGAGGTTAAGGCAGGAGGATCACAAGTTCAAGGCCAGTTTAAGCAACTTAGCAAGACTACATCTCAAAATAAAATTTTACAAAGGGTTGGAGATGTAGCTCGGTAGTACAGTGCTTGCCTAGCTTTTGCAAAACTGTTTTCATCTCCAGTACCACACACACCAATCCTGACAGGTGCAGGATTAAAACTTAGTAATTGTTGATTTATGAAACTTGCTGTGGAATATTTTTAGACTATAGTTAACTGTGAGTAACTGAAACTACAGACTGCAAAACTTTATAAGGGTGATAGTGTGGAAAAGTAGTAATACATGTAGGGCTTGAAGGAAAGGGCTTTGTAGTGAGGGAGTAAAAGCACAGCAAGGGATGGTATGGTACTTTATTAATGACAACCTCAAGAGTTCAGGAAATTAAGGCCATTGTATTGAATATATGTAGAAAGCATATAGTACATTTCACAAAGATTTTCATCAAATGTGTTTAAATGAGCTAATTAACTTAATCTTCAAATTATTAACATTTAGGCAAGTTCTAGTGGTTATGGAGCTCAGTCATTAACTTATATTACATTTGGTGAATAAAGTTATGAAGTTATAACCATGAGAAATAAGAAATTGGTTTATAATTTCAAAAATTAGAGATTTTTAACAATTTTATTATGGACACTTGTATATTTGAGAAACATCCTTGTTTTATGTCAGAATTAGAAAACATGCTCATCAGTGGGCCATTTAAAAAATTTCCGTGGTGGTATTATTTACTTATGAAGAAAGTTGAATAGGATTATTTAACTTTGCAAGTTTGAACCCAGCCTGGGCAACTTAGATCCTGTCTCAGAATTAAAATTTTTTTTAAAAAGAAGAGCTGGGGATGTAGTCTGGTGTGAAGGCCCTGGCTTCAGTCACCAGTACCACAATTAAAAAAAAAAAAAAAAAAAGTTAAAAAAAAAAAATTAAACCCAGGGATTTAGCTTAGTGGTTCTGTTACTTGCCTCAAAAGTGCAAGGACCTGAGTTTGATCCCTGGTACCAAAAAAAAGTGTAAAAACAAAAAAATTATATAAAGTAGCTTGGTTCAGTTGGTATCTGCATTCTCAGGGAGGAAGATGACTAACCAAGAAAGAGAAAGTTTGAAAAATAGTACTGAACAGATTATTGTGGTTTTTTTGTTTGTTTGTTTTGAAGCAAAACCTTTATCGGTACATTTTAGATGTTCATAATGATCACATTCATCATAGGGAATTTGTATCTGTGCATGATATATCTAGATTCTTCATTATTTCCCATCACCCCCCCACCCTTCTTCCCCTCCTTATTTATGAAAGCTTTGTTTCCATTTTTCTTTCTACTCTCTTTTTTTTCCTTGTCCCTTTATTTTCCATTTTGACATTTTATTCTATTTTATTTTAAGACAGAGTCTTGCTAAGTTGCCCAGGCTGGCCTCAACTTTGCAATCCTCCTACTTCAGCCTCCTGAGGAACTGTGACCACAGTCATCTACCACTGTTTCTGGCTTCTGCTGCTTTTCTTTGAAAGATCTTTTGAGAAAATTCCTATAACTTTTCTTTTTCTTTCATAAATTTTATTGTATATATTTAAAGTGTACATGTTTTGAAATACAAATAGTAAAATGATTACAGTAGTCAAATTAACATATTCATCATTTCACTTACTCATTTTGTTCGTGTGTATGTGGTAAGAAAACCTAAAATCTTTTCTTTTACCAAAAGATTATTGTGTTTTTAAGTTGCTTTGGCCTACAGTTATCCCTTGGCATGCATGGGGCTTTATACCAGGGTAACTGCCCCTTCTCCTCTGACCATACCAAAACCCCACAATGCTCAAATCTCTTAAGTGGTATTGTATTTGCATAAAATCTTTGTCCATCCTCCCATACACCCAAATCATCTCTAGATTACTTATACCTAATACAATGTAAATACTATATAAACAGCTCTTATACTATGTTGTTTAGGAAATGATAAGAAAAACTCTGCATGTTCAGTACAGATGCAACATTTTTTTCGAATATTTTTCTATACATGATTGGTAGAATGCAGAGCCAGTAGATCTGGAGACCTGACTGTACTTATGTTTAAACATACTTTAAAGGAGGCCCTTTATTGTGTTTTATCTGCTACTGTAAATGGCACTTTTCCTTTATGTTAATCCTTATTTAATATTGTAATTTCAGGATCCTTTGGCTGGTATAATTCCACGTACACTTCATCAAATTTTTGAGAAGCTTACTGATAATGGTACTGAATTTTCAGTCAAAGTGTCTCTGTTGGAAATATATAATGAAGAACTTTTTGATCTTCTTAATCCCTCTTCTGATGTTTCTGAGAGATTACAGATGTTTGATGATCCCCGTAACAAGGTAACTCAGTATTATAAAATGGAATGTTTCCAAATTTTAATAGGTAAGGCTTTAAGAAGTCAGTGTAGTTTCACTTTTTTTTTTTTTTTTTTAACCAATTTAATGAAATGTTCTTTTGCTCTTTGGTCAGAGAGGAGTGATAATCAAAGGTTTAGAAGAAATTACAGTACACAACAAGGATGAAGTCTATCAAATTTTGGAGAAGGGAGCAGCAAAAAGGACAACTGCAGCAACTTTGATGAATGCATACTCCAGGTGAGAAGGCCATGTTCCATTTCCTTTTTTTTAAGGCAGGATCTCAGATAGTCAGCTTGGCCTTTAACTCACTATGTGGCCCAGGCTGGCCTCAAACTTGCCATGATCTTCCTACCTCAGCTTCCCAAGTGCTGAGGTTACAGGCATGTGTTACTATTCCTGGCTTATTTTTTATTTTGAAATAGGATTTTGCTAAGCCAGTAAGTTGCCCAGACAAGGCTTCAACTTTTGATCCTCCTACCTCAGCTCCCAGAGTGTATGATTATAGGCTTGCACTGCCACAGGTGGCTCAAATCTTTAGTTGAAAATTACTTCACTTAAAATGTTCAGAGACATGTGGTTACTAAAACTGGCTTTTTGTGAGGAGAAAGGGACAAATTTATTTTCTCTAAATATCATCCACTAAAACACAAAATTTCTACTCTAAATTTTTTTTTTTTTTTTGGTACCAGGGATCAAACTTGGGTCCTTGCGCTTGCACAGCAGGCAGTGAAACCACTGAGCTAAATCCCCAGCCCTCTGCTCTAAATTTTTATGACTTAGGAACTCCTTTCTTTTATATGTAGACCTGACTAAAGATCACTTTTTATGAGTGTGTGTCATAAAGGAAGGAAAAATTAATTCATTTTTCCCAAATTAGTATTGACTTCTATGCTTAATTGCATTAATTCTATAATCCTGGATTAGAGCTTGGTGGGTAATGATAGAAAAACATGAGATGAATATTATAACTCAGACTTACAGTTTTGTTTATGGCAATCCTTGTACTTTCTCCATTCCTGAAACTTAAAATGATTTAAATAATTTTTATAATAATCATACTTTGGTGGGTGTGGTGGGACATACTTGTAATCCCAGCTACTCTGGAGTATGAGGCAGGAAGACTGCAATTCTAGGCCACATTGGGCAACCTAGTGAGAGCCTGTCTCAAAATCAAAAATAAAAAGGCCTAGGGTTATAGCTCCATTCAAGGACCTAGGTTCATTCACCAGTACTGCCAAAAAAGAGAAGAAAAAAGCTACTTATAAAACTTTTTAAATAACATAGAAAGTACAAAGAAAAAATTAAAAGTTACCATATTCTCCACCAATTCTGTGACACTAACAATCATAATAATGATATTTATCAAAGGCCACTGATACAAAAAGATGTCTTTAGGCATCTATTTAATTTTTGTCTGTAAGATAAAGTAAAATCTGAATGTCAGTATTTAGCATAAGGTATAATTTTGAACAGGTTGTATGTGTGTCTGCTACTAGGATTGGACCCAGGGCCCTGTGACTGCTAAGGAAATGCTCTACTACTAGGCTATATCCCCAAACCTTTTAAAATTAGGTTTTGAGGCAAGCACCTCAAATTTGCAATCCTTCTGACTCAGCCTCCCTGGTAGCTAGAATTATGCATATGTGCCACTATACCTTTTGAACACTTTAGATTCTAGCAGGAATTATTTTGCAGTATATCAGTAATCTGCTATTTACTATTTTTGCTGTTGAGGAAGAGGAATTAGCTATTTCTGATGACATTCTCAAAGCACAGAAATATACTTAGACAAGAGTTGACACGGCGGGGGGTTGTAATCTGACGGCTTGCTAGTATTATTTGAATTTAGGGTAATGACATATTACAGGTGGTTCTTATGAATATGGAAACTGGGAGCCTTCAACAATGAAACACCAGGCAACTGTCCTGACAATGCCCCATATCCAGCTTTCAGAGGTGCTTGAAATTCTAGATCTAAGTCTTAGTGTATTTCCAAGTAGTTTATTGGAGTGTACCCTGCAGGCAGCATGTGAAAGACAGCAAAAACCTAAGCATTGTTCTTTCATCTCCTATTTTCCAAAATCTTTTTGAAGCCAGGTATGGTGGCGCACTCATACAGTCCCAGCACTCAGGAGGCTGAGGCAGAAGGATCACCACAAGTTCTAGGCCTGCCTGGACTACACAATGAGTTGAAGGCCAGCCTGAACTATGAAGCAAGACTGTCTCAAAAAAACAAAACAAAACTGATTGATATCTCCTATTTAATAATATATTTGTCCTTGTGGATTTAGATCTTTCTTTACTGTTTTTAGTATTTTATATAGGAAGCAAACTATGTTTTACATTATAATGAATGGGCAACCTTATCTTGTTTTCTAGTCGTTCCCACTCAGTTTTTTCTGTTACAATACACATGAAAGAAACTACAATTGATGGAGAAGAACTTGTTAAAATTGGAAAGTTGAACTTGGTAAGCCTTTACCTTAATATCACTGTTTAATTCTTGTTGACCTCATAGATCAGCTTGTAGTTTTGTACTTACAGATGATTTGTTATAGTCACTTGATTGCTGACCTCATAGTGGGAGAAGAAATTTGTTATAGAAAATTAATTTTGCTGTATATTTAGCACATTATACATAAGATGAAAATCTTTGAATCCAAATCCAGTAGATTGACTTTTTATTTTTAAAATTCAAGGTTGATCTTGCAGGAAGTGAAAACATTGGTCGTTCTGGAGCTGTTGACAAGAGAGCTCGGGAAGCTGGAAATATCAATCAATCCCTCTTGACTTTGGGAAGGGTGATTACTGCTCTTGTAGAAAAAACACCTCATGTTCCTTACCGAGAATCTAAATTAACTAGAATCCTCCAAGATTCTCTCGGGGGCCGCACAAGAACGTCTATAATTGCAACAGTTTCTCCTGCATCTCTCAATCTTGAGGTAAGCCCTTTGAAAGGAAACTGCAAGTATAGGAGGTATAATTCTTATTTAGTTATTATGTATTTTATTTTATTTTTTAAATTTTATACCCCCCCCCCAAGCTCCCTTTTCTCTCTATGTACAAAAGCTTTGTTTCCATTTTTTCCTTCTATTTTCAGTTTAGCTATCATGTATTTTAAAAGTTTATTTACTGGCTTCATTTTATACTGCACTGTAAAAGAATCTGGACATTGCATATGGACATATCTTTGAGGATACCACTATAAAAAAGTTTAATTTATAATTAGTGACGTTTACACCATCTTCAAAGAAAATTACTTTGAATCATTAGCAGTGGCTAGTTTGTGGGGATTTCACTGAGTGGGTCAGATGAATGCTGGTATTACAGAGGCTGCTTAGATAGCTCTGATATTGATGTTGAATGTGCAGAAATAGAAGGGAAAACTTAGAGATCTAGCAAAGATGGTAAATGTGCTCTTATTTTATTGTATCATCTGCTTTAAATGGTATTAGAAAACTTCCCTTTCATTTTAAAAAAAATTGAGATATAATCATTTGTTATAAAACCTACTCATGTAAAATATATTAACTTAATTTTCTTATATTCAGACTTATGCAACCATCATTTTTATCAGCCTGACTTGGCGGCACATGCCTGTAATCCTAGCCCTCTGGAGGCTAGGCAGGAGGATCGCTGAAAGTTCCAGCTACATAGTGAGCTACATAGTGAGACCCTGTCTCAAAAGAAACAAAACATTTTTATCACTCCAAAATTGTTGCACATAAACACTTTTTATTCTCTCTCCTACTAGTACTTTTTGGGGAGATGGAGGGAATGTAGAGGATTAAACTGAGGCCCTCTTGCCTGCTAGGCAATTGGTCTATTACTGAGTTACATTACCAGCTCACCATATAGCTATATGAGAGAGAGACAGAGACAGACAGGGTATATCTATATAGATATAGATATATATATATCTATTGAGGCATGATATTACCAGTTGGCCCATGCTGGCCATGAGCTTGCAGCCCTCCTGTTTCAGCCTCCTTAGTTGCTGGAAAGACAGGCATGTGCCACAACACCCAACCTTATAACTATTTTTTTTTTTGTGGTACTGGAGATTGAACTCAGGACTTTGTGCTTGCGAGGCAGGCAGCAGCACCACTGAGCTAAATTCCCAGCCCTACTACTTTTTGTATCTATAGATTTGACTTTGCCTTTCTGGATATTTCATATAAATGGAATCATACACTATTCCAATTATGTGTGTTTTTTCTGACTAGCTTCTTTCATTTAGCATAATGTTGTCAAGGTTCATCCATATCTTGTCATTATATGGATTTGTTAAATTCATTGAATTTAAGACTAATCCAAAGATAAAAATTACTGGATCAAATTATCATAAGGACAAAGTTGAAGAGAAAGAACAAAAGATAAATTGAACAAAAGGGTAAGAAGGAAGATGTTGAAAGAGAAAAATAAGGAAGTTAGGTAGATGAGTTGTGTGTTGGGTATGTGTTACTGGAAACTGAACATAAGGTCTTTGTGCTGAACTATACCTCCAGGGTTTTTTTAGTTTTTACTTTGAGCCAGGGTCTTGCTGAATTGCTGGACTCAAACTTGGGATCCTCCTACCTCAGTGTCCTGGACTGCTGGGATTACAGGCCAGGCTACATACAGTATTCTTAATGAATATATTTTTAGATTAGATATAACCACACATTATTACCTGTAAGTTATATAGTACATTGTAGATGATAAAACTACATTATTCTTATAAAGTCTTCAGTAGTTGACTTTTGTTTTCATGACAGGAAACTTTGAGTACATTGGAATATGCTCATAGAGCAAAGAACATATTGAATAAACCTGAAGTTAATCAGAAACTCACCAAGAAAGCTCTTATTAAGGTAATTGTGAATTTTTGTAGAGTAATGTGTTCCTGTTTGAGAAATGCAAAAATGAGCTGAAGCAGATAATTGTTAAACAGTATTTATAAATTTCCTGTATTAGGCATTTTTTTCTTATTTTTATTATTTAGATGGGGTCTTACTATAATTTTTCCAATAGCTGGGCCTGGCAAAAGGTTTTCTGTCCTTGTTTATTACTAGTATTAGTCTATTACTATATTATAGTATAGTTCTATTGCTACTACTATACTATTATCTTTGCAGTGCTGGAGATAAAACCTAGGACCAGCAAATGCTCTATCACTGAGCTCCATCCCCAGCCCTTAAAAGAAGTTTTTAATGAATACACGTAAAGGAGCTTTGAAGGCCACTGACTGTTTCTGAGCAAATTAGTTTTGATTGAAAAGTATAGTTATAACTTTCTATTATATAGAAATATATATATATAGTTAGAAATTTCTATTATACTTTTCATGTTTTATTTGTTGCATATAATCCCCAAACAGAATGGGAAAAGGTACTAAATTGACACTACGTCACTTCTCTTGTGTAGGAATATACAGAAGAGATAGAGCGCCTGAAACGAGATCTTGCTGCAGCCCGAGAGAAAAATGGAGTGTACATTTCTGAAGAAAATTTTAGGTAAGCCTTTGTCTATAGAGTTAATTTCCAAAAATAAGCATTTTCTGATTACATGTTGTTTGAAGTAGAATTTACTTTCGTAGCAATGAGTAAAATATACCTAATGCTTCTAAATGTTTGGTTTTGACATTAAATAGTAATCACCCCACACTCTGGAGGATTGCCATGAGTTTGAAGCCAACCTGGGCTACATAGTGAGACCCTGTCTCACTCCCCCAATAAAATAAATAATAGTTATCAACACATTTAAAGAACAACTTTGTATGTAGGTGAGGCTTGTGGACCTGTGGGTTTACTCTCGGGTGAAAAAGGTTTTTTCTTAGTTGTATTTTTTTCTTTTGGGGATGACCTTTTAGATTTTCCTGTGAAGACTGACCATGTCTACTGCTTAGAGATTATTCTGGCTGCTGATATTTGTTTAGTGAGCATAGGGCTGAGGTTCCCAACATTCAGTATGTATATGTTCACTTAAACACCTGTTTCCAGACTACCTTACTCCCAACTCTCCATTGTGTTTGGTCAAAGTGAAGCTAGAAGTTCTTATGCAGTTACTGTAGATCAGTGGCTCTCAAGGAACAGGGAAAGGCTGCTGCCTAGAGGACATTCAATAATGTCCAGAGAGTTTTGTTTGTTGCACTGAAAATTGAACCAAGGGTCTTAACATTGAGCTACATCCCCCGTATTTCTTTAGCTAGCTTGCTTGCTTTTCTTTTCTCATTCTCTCCTTCCTTCCTTCCTTCCTTCCTTCCTTCATGGTCTCACTAAGTTATCCACATGTGATTCGAGCCTGTGATGCTTGGAATATAGGCATGTGCCACCGTGCCTTGCTGAGACAGTTTTTGATTACAGTGGCAAATGTTGGGGTGTGCTACTGGCATCTAGTGGACAGATCAGGGATGATACTAAACATCCTAAAGTACACAAGATATTCCCACAACAGACAATTATCTAGTGATGTCAGTGGTGCTAAGGCTGAGAAACTGCTCTAGAATAATCCTTTGATCTCATGAGAGTGTATGTGGTGATGTGATAATGGTATATGTGTTAGGGGGATGGTATTGCTCTGTACATAACCTTAAGTCCTCTAGGTATTTTTAGCCCCTGAGCTCACCCCCTCCTTTTGTGATATTTCATATGCCTTCAACTCTGAAGCTTTTCCAACTTTCATGGGTTAGGGAGTATCACTTTTTTTTTAAGGAAGTATCACTTTTTATTCCATATCCCATACTACAGACACTTAGATTATGTAGTATCCTCCTAGTCTCTACTTTTGATTAGTTACAGTCCTCCATTGGCTTTCCAGTTTCTCAAATTTGATACACTCTCACTTGTTTTCCCCTTCATAGGTAAAGATTTGAGTTTCAGAAGGGAGGTCAAAGGAAAAATGTTCAAGTAAAACAAAGACTGAGAATACATTTGTTCTTTGTAGTTTGCAGTTATTGCTTACCAATATTTAGGTGTGATTTTGATGGTGATAAGTGGTGGAGACAAATTTATTTAACTTGCATTAGATTCAGATATTTTGTGGGATTTAGAAAAAATGTTAACTGTTAAACTCAAACTTTATTTTAGAATCATGAGTGGAAAATTAACTGCTCAAGAAGAGCAGATTGTGGAATTCATTGAAAAAATTGGTGCTCTTGAGGAGGAACTAAGTAGGGTAAGTATCAAAACAATATTCAATGTTATGTGAAAAGCAAATATTAAAAGAAAATTCTACAATGTGAAGGACTGATGTCTTGATGGTTCATTGAAAATACGTTTTATGTTTACTATCATCAATGATAACAAAAAAGTTTTTAATTTTGATACTTATGTTAGTACACTGTTATAATCTGGCATTTATACACAATGGAGTAGTACTCTGCCATAAAGAAAGATAAACTTGAGTCATACTTTTTAGGAAAATGGATGCACCTTGAGACCATAATGTTAAGTGAAATTAATCAGACAAGCTGAAGTATCACAAGCATAAATAAGAGCAAAATAAAAGATAGATAATACAAAATAGGGAGATAGGTCTTTTGCAAAAGGGAAGGGTGTCAAGAGATGGAGGGAGGGGAGAGAAGAGAGGAGGACTAGAAAAGGGAGCTGGGATGTGTTATGTACATGTACCAACTCCACATGAGGAATGTGGTCATTGTGTGCTGTAAACATGTACCGATAAAACGAAAAAAGATTTGATACAAAAAAATGTAGTTTTAAGGTCCTGAATTCGAACCCCAGTACCAGAAAAAAAAAACCACTGTTTTAAGAAATTATAGTTGAATGCTGCTTAATTACAAGGATATGGTCTGAAATGCTTTGTTAGGTGATTTCATTGTTTTGCAACATCATAGATTGTATTTATACAAACCTACATAAACTAAACACAAACATACACATTAACCTAGACCTACACAAGGTGAGAATCACCAGTATTACCACCTTCCATCTCCACAGCTCGTCTCACTAGACAATCTTCAGGGCCAGTAACGTGGAACTGTCCTCTCCTATCATAACAATGCCTTGTGTAATCCTTCTTAAAGGATCTACATGCATGAGGCTTTTTATACAGTTTTTTTTTGAGTAGTACATTCTAAACTAATGATAAAAAGTATAGAAAATATATAAACAAGCAACACAGCCTAGTATTATTATCAGATATTATGGTCTGCTTATATTGAATGTATTGTAGTTTTATACAGCAGTAACTTTGTTTATAGCATCACTGAAAGTTGAGTAGTACATTTGCTACAACATGACAGCTCTGGTGTCACTGGGTAATAGAAATGCCCCATTATAAAGTGTTTTTTTCCTCTTGACTGTTCTGAGAGTAAAACCTAGGGCCTGTGCATACTAGGCAACCACTCTTAACACTGAACAACCTACACCTCTGCTGCTGGCTCCATTATAATATTATGGGACCATTCTTATATACAGTCTTTTGTTGATTAAAATGCCATTATATATCAGACGTGAGATTTTCTTGTTCAAGCTATGAAACCTGAATGCTAAGGCATTTTCATTGACATGTTTGTCAAATGAAGCAATATAGATAATTAGATACTGGATGGTTAAAAAAATAAAGTAGGGAGGTGTAGTGAAGCACGCCTGTCTGTAATCCCAGCCCTCTGGGAGGATGAGGCAAGATTGCACAATCCAGTCCCACCCGGGCAGTTTAGCATCTTAGCAAGACCCTGTGTCAAAATAAAGAATAAAAATGGCTAGAGATATAGCTCAATGTGAAGACCCTGAGTTCAAAAATGAAATTAAAAATTTATAAAAAGGAAAAAAATGTTTAATGTATTGTACTTAGGTTACAGAATTGTTTATGGATAATAAAAATGAACTTAACCAGTGTAAATCTGACCTGCAAAATAAGACACAAGAACTTGAAACTACTCAAAAACATTTGCAAGAAACTAAATTGCAACTTGTTAAAGAAGAATACATCTCATCAGCTTTGGAAAACAATGAGGAGAAGCTTCATGGTGCTGCCAGCAAGGTTTGTCTGTCAATTTAAAACACACTTTTACTATCTCATACATATTTTTCTCTTTGGAGGTGCTGACTTAAAAACAAAAATGAAAAAAACCCCACACCTGGATTTTTTGAAAATAGAGCATGACTCTGTATTTGGTGGACGTTTAGACTAGTGATATTGAATGATTGAAACTAAAGAGCCATTAAGAATTTAGTAATTTCTGGCGGGGCATGGTGGCACACTCCTGTAATCCCAGCACTCAGGAGGCTGAGGCAGAAGGATCACAAATTGGAGGCTAGCCTAGACTACATAGTGAGACCCAATCTCAAAAAACAAACAAAACAAAAAGAATATACTAACTCCTAATGGAAGAAGATATGAAGATATTGAAAATATTAAGTTTATTAGGTTATTAGGTGTACCTTTGAGGAGATGGTAAAACACAACTGAAATAAAATTTTGTGAGGAAGCATGATTACTGCAATAAATTTGCAAAATCAGTTTTCCTTACATAGATAGCTAGTAAAGGAGAATTAAACATTCTTGGATATCTGGATACATTAGCATGTATTTCTTTTGATATAGTATTAAATCTTACTAGTTCTCAGTAGGAGAAATTCTTGTATAGCTTAGATATTGTCATTGGATTTTTTTTGTCTTAACATTTGTTTCTAAATTTCTTGTATAGTTGCTTGACACAGTTAAAGAAAGTACAGAAGATGTATCTGGTCTCCATTCCAAACTGGATCGTAAGAAGGCAGTTGAGCAACACAATGCAGAAGCTCAGCATATTTTTGGCAAAAAACTAAAGAGTCTGTTTAATAATATGGAAGAATTAATTAAGGATGGCAGTTCAAAACAAAAGGCAATGCTAGAAGTTCACAAGACCTTGTTTGGTAAGGTCAAGCATTTCTAATTACTCTTGTTTTATGTTTCATTTGAGGCTAATTTCCCAAGTAATAATTCTGTAAAACACTGATGACAGGGTCACTAGTATGCCCCGCAGTGCACATATTGTTTAGATTAAGTAATTAATGCTTTTATTTTCTTTGAACTAAAACAAATCTTAGAGCTTCCCCTTTATTTCTGAACTTCACTCCTTCTTTATAGGTATTACTGTTAAATTTCTTGGATCTTGTTTTAGAATTTTTTTTTTTTTTTTGAGACAGAGTCTCACTATGTAGCCCAGGTGCCCTCAGACTTACGGCAGTTCTCCTGGCTCAGCCTCCCAAGTGCTGGGATTGCAGTTGTGTGCCACCATGTCTGGCCTAGAATTTTTTCTGTGTAAACATTCTGCAATTTTTCTTTTGGGAATGTATATGTTGAATGTTTGCTGTATTGTCAGAGTACATGTATCATTTTTTAAAATTTATTTTTTAAATTTTATTTTATTGGTACATTTTAGGTATGCAATATAATGACATTTATCATTGGACATATATATCATTTTTAACCATTGCATTGTATCTCCTTTTGGAATGATAACTCTTTAAGTAGTATTTAGGAGTCTGATACTCACAAATAAGTCAAGAGCTTGTACAACACTATAGAATGTATATATCGTTCCTTGCTTCTGTAGTGAGACACTTTTTTTCTAGTGAGTCATTTCTTAAATAAGCTTACTTGTTATTACAAATTCCACAACAGCCAGGTATGGTAGCACATGCCTGTAATCCCAGCCAACACTGAGGAGACTGAGGCAGGAGGATTGCCACAAGTTTAAGGCAAGCCTGAACTCTACAACGAGACCCTGTTTTGAAAAAACAAACAAAATTCCATAACAAGGATATAATTTTGCCAACATCTTTGAGGATGCTTCTAATTGTATTTAAATATGTTTAATTATGCCAAAGTTTATATCTTTCTTTTTTCCGTGATAGGTGATCTGATGTCTTCCAGTGTGTCTGCATTAGATTCCTTTACTACAACAGCACTTGGATCTCTCACATCTATTTCAGAAAATGTGTCGACTCATGTTTCTCGAATTTCTAATATGATACTAGAAGAACAGTCATTAGCAGCAGAAAGTAAAACTGTACTGCAGAAATTGATTGTTAGTAAATCTCTTAAAAATCTTCTCAAAGAGTTACATTTGATGAATTTTCAAAATGTTTACTGCTCTTTCATGCTAAGCTTTGTTAGTACACAGTGACAGACATATCACTATGCAAGTATGTTTATATGTTTTTAGATTAGATTTTTTTTTAATTTTTAAATTTTAGTACATGTGTGCAGTACATAATGTTCACATTCCTTGTGTGGAATTGGTACTTGTACATGACACATCTTAATTCCTTTTTTTATCCCCTTTCCTTCCCCTCCCTCCATGTCTTGATTCCTCCCCTTTCAGAAACATCTATCTCACTACTTCCTATTATCTATCTTTTATTTTGCTCGTCATTTATAATTTGGGTTTCTAGCAATCAGGTGATATTTAAGCTTGTGTTTTTTCCTTAGCAAGATTGGTTTCCAAATATATACAACCAAGCTTTTAAACTTTTACTTTTAGAGAGCTAGGGATTGAACACAGGGCCTGTCCACACTGAGCAAGTGTTCTACTACTGAGCTACATCTCCAGCCTGCTTTTTTTTTCCTTTGAGACAAGGTTTCACTATGTAGTTCAAGCTGGCCTCGAACTTGGGGCAATCTTCCTGCCTCACCTTCCCGAGTGATGGTATTACAGACATGTGCCACCACGCCCAGCTCCTAGACCCGCTTTTAAACTTTTTTCATTCACATCTGGTGTGGTTAAGAGCAGGAGTTACTAGTAAGCCTTCTAATGACTAAAGGGAAGATTTGGCTCCAGATGAGTTCAAAGGAGCCATGATTTGTTTGTTAGTTGGAAACTGGAATGCCAAGAGTCTTGGAGTAGCCATGTTACACTAACCCAACCAGAAGAGGGTGTTGGGTAGTTACTTTTGAAACTGTAGTAATAGGTGATAGTAACAGCAATATGTGGTAGTAATGCAAGAAAAACAACAAATAGGATTCTAGAAATACATGTAATATTTCTTGGGGCTAGAACTATGTGGCCAACTTTTGAGCTTTAACTAGGGCTTTTTCCATGGTTTATTAAACATTTTCTAAATAAATACTACAAGTGTTAGCTGATCCTTTGCCTAGATTCTAAGTATTCACTAATTCATTTGTGTTTTAGATTTTTCTGTTATTTGCTTTACTGCATTAGTAAAAGGAGCTTAGTTCAGTTTTTTTTTTAGTAGAACTTACCAGTCTACACTACATCCTCGGTTTTCCATATACCTTGGCAATAAACAGAACTGTCTCAAGTTCTGATACAATAGGTTGAATGTCTTCAAGTCTTCACAGTTAAATACCTCCAGCCCAAACCCTACTCTTGACAGCTATTTGGACTCAACCTTTTTGACTAGCTATCTAAAGTTGCTTGAAATTTATTTTATTTGAATGTACCTGTAGGTTTTGAATTTTTTCCCTTTGCTTGGAATACTGAAATCTTATCAATTGACTGTCATTTTCTTCTCTTCTGAATTCTGACTTCTGTTTCATTAGACTATAACAGTGATGGCGAACCTTTTAGAGCTTTCAGTGATACAAATAGCCCACTGCAGCATGTATGCCATAGGTTCACCACTACTGGACTATAATGTTATCTATATTAAATGACTTATTTTCTTAATTACTAAAGTCAGGACTAAGTGACTTACGTTGAATATAAACTAGGTATAAAAATATATCTGTAAGGCCGGGGATTTAGCTCAGTGGTTCTGCTGCCTGCCTTGCAAGCGCAAGGACCAGAGTTCGATCCCCAGTACCAAAAACCAAACAAACATACATACACACACACACACACACATATACGTGTATATATATGAGTTTTAAAGAATAGAGAATATCAATTTAGAATTTTAATGTACATGTTTAGTTGTTGAAATATTTAAAATATTATCATTTAGCCAGCCAGATTTATGGAAGTAAAAAATATTCTTCTTAAAGATTTATTTATTTTTGAAACTAGAATGAACTTACAACAGACCTTCTACATTCACTGCGAACGGTTTTGTCCCCTACTGTGGTGTCTATATTGAAAATCAATAGTCAACTCAAACATATTTTCAAGACTTCATTGACAGAGGCTGGACAGGTAACAAATGTTGTTTTGTTTTGTTTTGTTTTGTTTTTTGAGACAAGATCTCACTATGTAGCTCTGTCTCGCTTTGAACTCACTATGTAGCCCAGGCTGGCCTTGAACTTGCAGCAGTCATCCTGAATTAGCCTCTTAATGCTGGAATTATATGTGTGCTCCACCATGCCCAGCTTGTTATGTTCTTAGTATCTCAAAATTGATGAGTTGTTTAAGAAGCTAATTTTTTTTTCTTTCCAAGATAGAAGATCAGAAAAAAGAAATGGATGACTTTCTCAGTATAATGTGTAACAGACTACGTGAACTACAAGAGAGTACAGTTTCTTCCTTGGTCGAATCACAGAAGCTGTGTGAAACCTTAAGTGAAGAAGTGAAAACAATAAAGCAAACCCATTCACAGGTATCTTGTGTATCTGATAGGAGAGTGTAAAAATAAAGTTTTGTGATGACTGATATGACTTAACTGATGTTATACAATCTGAGTGCTATAGTATTAATTTAGAAACCTGAAAGATATCATAGTTTCTGTTGCTTATAACAGTAATTAAAATAATTGAGAATACTTCTCTTGATCAGTTAATATTTGAGAATTTTCTACACATACAGCCTCATGGTGAAGCACATTGTGACAAAGAAAACAGTCCTTCCATATACCAAGATGAAAGATTTATGAAGAAACATATTTCCATAGGAAAATGGTTATAACATTTAAAATAAACATATAATGTAAGTTGTTTCTTTCTAGTATGACATGGGTAGTTATTATGTTTCATAAACTAAGCCCTACTTTCTCTTAGTTCTGTCTCACTGATGAAAGCCACTTAAATTCTAATAAATAAAAACAATTCAGGACTTATCTTTGTCTATGCAACCTACGCATATGAGGCTTTAAACCAAACCCAAACCTTCAAACCATAATCGATAATATTAGATACATGGGAAGTTTCTGTTACTCTTAAGACTTGAGTAATAATGAACATTAAAGTTTTATTTAAATGAGCCTATTAAGATTTGACAGCACTCTACTCAGTAAAACTTGATGGGATATATTGAGTAGGAAAGAGTTCTTTTCCTTGGCAAAATGAGGGAGAAGGAATTCATGCATGTCATAAAAATGAGAAAATAAACACACCTAAGCTTTTTAGATAAGTGAAAACAACTTTAAGAGGGTCAGCTTCCCTAATTGATAAGCATGAGGATTAACATCAGAAATTAGTAGAAATAATGGTCTACATTTACTAAGCAATCCACTGTGTGTTTATTCCTATCAGTATAGGTACAGATTCTATGACTTGCTCATTTTTCTAGTGAAGAAAATGAGACCTTGGGAGCCCCAGTAGTATGGTGTTCATCTTACTAATGCTCCATCTTGGTAGTGATTGTGTTGCTTGACAGGCATGCATTTGTGTGTGCTTCTTCTGTACATTTCTTGGCATTTTGAAATTGTAGCCATTTCTTAGACCTTTGCACAGGGTATTTGCCTTAAACCTACCATAGACACACACACACACACACACACACATACATATATGGCATGTGTAAATTTTGAACCCAAATTTACATGAAGATAAATCTGAAAATATCTGCATTACTCCCTACTTTTAAGATTAATGAAGCCTGATGTAATCCCAGCACTTGGGAGGCTGAGGCAAGAGGATTGTGGTGAGTTTGAGGCCAGCCTGAGCTACATAGTGGACTCAAGGCCAATCTGAACTACATAGTGAGACCTTGTCTCAAAAATAAGAAAAATAGGGCTAGGGATTTAGCTCAGTGGTTCTGCTGCCTGCCTTACAAGTGCAAGGATCCAAGTTTGATCCCCAGTACCAAAAAAAGAAAAATAAAAACTAATAAAAATACTGTAAGAGTTTTTAATAATCAGAATGTTAGGTATGCATTATCACCTGATGTGTTATAACTGTTCATTAAACAATGAATAAAAGTCCTGGATATATTTTCAGCTTTTCATTGGTCTTTGGTATAGCTTCTTCATGTTGCAGTGTAGCATGTTTTGTGCCTGTAAAGAAGTTCTTTTTAAAGGTACCAAGTATGAGCAAACGTAACAGTGTATTTTTATTAGTATGACCCAACTAAACTCTGTAAGTATTCTTTAACTCCAGTAGCTGATATTTTTGGATTACTTAACTGACGAGGTTATCAGGTTATCAGTATTAATTCCCCCTTGTAGTGTTATCAGATAGTGTATCTGTCAACGTAGTTCTTAAACATAATATGACATCTGAATATGTTTGATTAGTTTTGACATACAGTGGAAGTAATTTGCTATTAAAATAGCAAAGTTTGCTTATCAACTTTTTTAAAAAATTCCTACAAAATCCTTATAGTATCGCAGTCACTGATTTGCTCTATGCTAGAGAGGTAGAGTTAAAGATCTCTTGTCAAGAATTTGTATAATTCTGGGGCAACCCACTTTCCGGTTCCCTCTCTGTCTCTTTTAGACAGAAGCTATCTTTCAATAAATTCTTCCTACTCTTAACCTCTGTTTTTTCCTAGAATTCATTACATGAACCTAGAGTTTTAGATATCTAGCAGGTTTGGGAGCTATATCTATTCCCCCTGTTATCACCCAGACAGCGCCAAATAATTCTTGGGACCCTATTGGTGGAACTTCTTCTGGTCCCCCCTGAGATGTGGATGGCATAAAGTAGAGGAGACGCTAGGAGAAGCCTGCTATTGTAACTTCACAGGGCAACCCAACCTTTGTCTCTCTTCTGTTTTTGCTTTTATCCTTTCCTCTCTTTGTTTGGCCCAAGTTCACTCTGCAGAGCTAGTTCTTCCTATGTCCCTTCACCCCTCATTTTTCAAATAAATTTTTGGCACTGTTAAAAAAAAAGAAAAAGAATTTGTATAATTCTTACCTATGGGAGAATACTTCACAACATTGGTCATATACAGAAAAAGTGTTCAAGTGTCATAATTCCAAGTCTCTTCCCCTTCCCTCATATTTCTTACAGGAACTCTGCCAGTTCATAAATCTTTGGGCAGAGCGATTCTGTACTTTGGAAGAAAAGTGTGAAAACGTCTGGAAACCACTCAGTAGTGTTCAAGAAAATACAAAGCAGTAAGCTATTTTAAATCTTTTTAAAGTTCTGTAAGACTAAAATTATTTAGAAAAAAAAATTTCAAAGAGCATAAATAAGTCTTGTATACTTTTAACCAAATTTCTCATTTGTTAATGTTTTTTGTGGATGTGTATATTTGTATGTCGATACACACTAAATACCTTTGTATTCCATGTTTGTACTTCCTTAGTGAGAAACCTGACTCTCATTAACAGCATATTTTCTAATTTCTTCAATCTCATACATTAAGTATAAAGTAATTCCACAATTTCTATCCCATATCACTGATGAAAAATACACCTGCTGGGGGCAGGATTTGGCACACTGTCTCATGAGCTGGATGCCTGTGATTACAATTTCCCTGGACACAGCCATGACTGTTTGCTTAACATGTTACCTTGACTGCATTTGCGCTGCAACAGCAGAACTATCATTGCATCACTCATACACCATAAAACTGAAATACTCGCTATCTAGCTTTTAAGAAAAACTTGGCTAATTTCTGCACTAGAGTTTGATGAGGCTTTATAGCATCATCACTTGCTAGTCCCACATGCTTACACACATTCCAGCTAGACTTTTGTTTTCTTTTTATGTTTTTTGTCTTTTTTTGTTTTCAAACCCAAGGCCTCACACATGGTAGGTAGGATTTACCACTGAGCTACAATTCTATCCCAGTGTTTTAAGTATAGATTTAAGTATATTAAGTCTATGAGCCATTTAAAAAATATATATCTATATATGGTTTGTCAAGCTGTTTTTTGTTTTTGCCTATGGGTGCTCTAAATTCAAGAGGACAAGGACATTTTATTTACTCCTGTTTTTGCACTTTTAATTGTTCCTTCCTGAAGTTCTAAACTTTCTTCAGAGTAGAGTGTTATAATTTCCCTTTCATTCTCAAAAGATATTTTTCTTGGACATATAATTCAGGGTTGACAGTTCTTTTCTTTCAGTATTTACAATATGTTGTTTTATTTCCTCCTAGGAGATCACAAACCCATCATTATTCAAGTGAAATGCTTCCCTATAGGCAGTTTTTCTTTAGCTGCTTTTAAGACTTTGTTTTTTTAGAAATTTGATTACATTGTATCTACCTAGTTACCCCTGAGTTCATCCTGTTTAAGATTTGTTCAGGCCGGGGATTTAGCTCAGTGGTTCCCACCTGCCTCGCAAGTGCAAGGTCCTGAGTTCGATCCCCAGTACCAAAAAAAAAAAAAAAAAAATTTGTTCAGCTTTAGGAATCTATAGGTTATACCTTTCACCAAAATTGGGTAATTTTCATCTGTCATTTCTTTGAATATATTTCAGCCCTATACTCCTTCTCTTCTGCTTCTATGACTAACTGATGACATAAATGTTAGATCTTTTGTTGTTGTTGTTTTGGTACCAGAGATCAAACTCAGGTCCTTGCACTTGCGAGGCAGACGAGGCAGATGACGTCACTACTGAGCTAATGTTAGATCTTTTATTATAGTCCCTGAGATTTTATTATCTAATCATCTTGTCTATCTATCTACCTTTTTGTTGTTCAAATTGGGTAAATTCCATTGATCTGTTTTCAAGTTCACTGAGTTTTCCTATGTCATTTCTAACCTACTGTTGAACTCATTCAATAAGGTACTTTATTTCAATATTGCATCTTGTTTTTGAGACATGGTCTTGCTATATAATTTAGGCTGGCCTTGGACTCACTATGTAGCCCAAGCTGGCCTCAAACCTGGTGGCAATCCTCCTTCCTCAGCCTCCTGAGTGCTGGGATTACAGGTGTGCAACACCATGCCTGGCTCAGTCTTATATCTTACAGTTTCGTAGTTTCATTTGAAATGGAATTTTTTTTTTTTTTTTTTGGCAGGGGCGTTACCGGGGATTGAACTCAAGTCCTTGTGCTTGCAAGGCAGGAGGTGGAACCACTGAGCTAAATCCCCAGCCCCTGAAATGGGATTTTACCATACTGCCCAAGCTGCTCTTGAACTCCAAGGCTCAAATGATCTTGCCTCAGCCTCCTGACTAGCTGGGACTACAGGTGGCTTGTCTCTCTTTCTTTTTTTTTTTTTTAGGAAAACATTTATTGGTACATTTTAGATATACATAATGATAACATTTATCATAGGGAATTTGTACCAGTACATGATATATCTTGCTTCTTTTTTCCCCATCCCCCCATGTATAAAAGCTTTGTTTCATTTTCTCCTTTGACTTTTTTCTTATTTTTCTTGTCCATTTTTTCTTTCCCCACTCCCCCCTCCGTGTTCTCTTCTCATTTGAACATTTTCTTCCCATTTCCCAACGTCTACTGTACATTTTAGTCCTTATTTCCACTTGTGGTTTCTCATACCAGAGAAACAATGTGGTATTTAAACATATGTGTTTGATTTATTTCACTTAAGAGTATGATCTCAAAGTGCATCCATTTAGCTATAAATGTCTCAAGCTCGTCTTCTTGATGGCAGACTAGTACTCCATTGTATAAAAAACCACATCTCCTTTATCCGTTCATCAGTTGATGGGCATTTGGGCTATTTGTAAGATTTAGCTATTACATTTGTGCTGCTATAAACATGGATGTGCATATATCGCAGTGGTATGATGCTTTTATTTCTTCCGGGAAGATACCTAGAAGAGGAATAGCTGGGTCATATGGAACCTCTAGTTTTAGTTCTTTGAGAAATCTCCACACTGAATTTTCCACAGTGGTTACACCAGTCTAAACTCTGACCAACAGTGGAGAAGGGTTCCTTTCCCCACAGACCCTCCAGCATTTGTTTGAAGTGGCAATCCATTCTTTTTGGAGTGAGGTGGAATCTCAGCATTGTTTTAATTTGCATCTCTTGAATGACCAGTGATGTTGAACATTTTTTCATATATCTATTTGCTGTTTCTACTTCATCTAAGAAGTATCTATGCATTTCAGGTGCTCATTTTTGGATTGAGTCTTTAAATTTGAGGGGTCTGATTTTTTTTTTTTTGAGTTCTTCATATATTCTAGATATTAATCCTTTGTCTGAGGAACAGCTGGCAAAATTTTTTCCCACACTGTGAGTTGGTTTTTTCACTCTGCTGGTGGTTTCTCTTGCTGTGCCAAAGCTTTGTAATAAGATGAGGTCCCAGTTGTTGATTCTTTGTTGTTGTTCCCAAGTTGATAGTTCCTGCATGACTGAGATTTTGTTCATAGTCTTTGTCTATACCAATGTCTTTCAGAGTTCTACCTGTTCTATCTTCCAGCATTGTTTCTGTTTAAATATTTAGATCTTTGATTATTTTGATTTGAGTGAAAGATATGGATCTAGTTTTAATCTTCAGCAAGTGGTAACCCAGTTTTTCCAGTGCCATTTACTAAAGGGGCTATCTTTCTTCCAGTGAAGGGGTTTGGCTCCTTTGTCAAAGATGAGATGGCTGAGTATTTCTGGAGTTGTTTCTGCATCTTTCAGTCTGTTCAGTGCTTGGCTCTTTTTTTAATACCTTCTGTTTCTTTGCTAATATTTTTTTCAGGAGTGTTTAAGCTGCTCAATGTGGCATTTGGCTGCCTTTATTTATTTCAAAAGGCTGGTTTTAAATCCTCGCTAAATAATGCCAGGATACAAGTTCTCTTATTATTGGCATCTGTTGATTGCCTTTTCTCATTTGACTTGTGATTTTCCTGGTTCTGGATAGGAGTGATTTTTTAGTTATGTCTTGAACATTTTGGATATTATGTAAGGAGATTCAAGATCCTGTTTACACCAAACGTGGAGGTACATGTTTATAATCCCAGCATTGTGAGAGACCAAGGCAGAAGGATTGCAAATTTTAGCCCAATTTGGACAACTTAACAGGACTTCTGGAGCTATAGCTCAATGTGAAGGCCCTGGGTTTAATTCCAAGTACTATCTGCCCCTTGCCCTGGAAAAAATGTTCCCTTTTAAGTCTTTTTAGTAGGATTGAAGTGGGAAAGAAACAATGATACACTTTCATAAAGTTCCGGCATTTTCCTGTCTCCCCCAGTGTTTCTCATGTGTCCAGGGACTATCAGAATCATCCAAGAATCTAAGCAATACTTGTAAAGTACACTGAACATGATAACTCCCTTTGGCATTTATGATAGTTTCTAGTCACTTTTGACTAAGTCTTATATTACCACTAGGTTGTGATTTTGTGAGGGGAGTGATTTATGTTGATGTTATGTTACTTTTCATTTTTTAGTCATTGCCACTTAATCTGTAGGTGTTGATTTTCATCATCTTTGCTTACTTAGTTGGTTTACTCACATGGCATACCATCTAGTGGTAAAAGAGGGTGAATTTAATTCTCTGAGGTTTAATTCTGTGGTCTTATGAGATGACTGAATGCTGTTCTAGAGAAACTGAGAGTAGAAAATAATAAATTTGAAATGTATTTCTCGACATTAATGTTTATGTCATATATATGATATGTGCTGTATCAGTGTGTCATACCCCAATAGAGTTTTCTTTTCACTATTAAAAAAGCTTTATACTTGAGGGGTTTTTTTGGGGGGGGGAGGATTGGTATTGGGGATCGAACTCAGGACTTCACGCTTGCCAGGCATCCGCTATGCTGCTGAGCTACATCCCCATACTTGAATTTTAAAATAACATTTATGTTTTATATCATAGGTGAGTGGAACTGCTTAATAGTAGAATGACTGACAATTTTGATAACAGTACCATCAGATACTATAACGGAGATACAAAAGAAGGCATCATCTGGAGGAGGACAAGTAAAGGTGTCATAAGACAAGACCTTTTCAAGGTCATTTAATGGCACAGCCATGTCAGTCTGCTAGAAAATACATTGATCAAAGCACAGATGCTCAATTTAAATGCATTAAGAGGACAGGCTGTGGAGCCAAACTGCATGTATTCAATCTGCCATTTAAGAGCTGTCTGATCTTTGGAAGGTTGTAGCCCACTTTCCTGTTTCTACAGTGTTATTTTCTTTCCCCATAGGAAATCTAAGGATATAATCAGCACAGCAACTTTTCACAATAAAAAATTTTGTACTGATTTTGATGGCTTGTCACAAAAACTCAGGCATTTTAACCAAGAAGGTACAAAATTGGTTGAAGAGTCTGTGAAACAGTGTGATACACTCAACTCCAACCTGGAAAAAATATCTCAAGAAACTGAACCAAGATGTGAGTGTCTGAACATGAGTACAGTTTGTTTTTCTGAACAATGGATGTCATCCTTAAATAAAAAGGAAGAGGAACTTCAGAGCTTATTGGAGGTAATAACTTTGTACCTGGAACCTACTTTAAGGAAAATAGTTATAACCAGATAATTAAATATTCTGGCCTAGAATTGGTTTCAGAACAAGTTCTATTTTAAGACATAATGGATGACTCAAAATCCTTACCTATAATATTTGGTATACTTATACATCATCTTTTTTTTTTTTTTTTTTTTTGGTACTGGGGATCGAACTTGGATCCTTGCGCTTACAAGGCAGGCGGCGGAACCACTGAGCTAAATCCCCGGCCCAAGTTTATTTAGTTTTTTCTTTTTGTTTTTGTTTGAGGTATATGTCTTCTAGATCTTAAAGTTATTTAACATTTGTCTAATGTCTGTCCTGTGTATATCCTTGGTTTTTTTGTTTTGTATTTTGGTACCCGTGATCAAACTCGGGACCTTGCACTTGTGAGGCAGGTGGTGGCACCACTGAGCTAAATCCCCAGCCCTTATCTTCGGTTTTTGACTTGTTAGTTTCTTTGGAGAAGGGCACTCTCTTTTGACACCTCATGCCTTCCATTTTTATTAACTTTCCTCAGGTACTTTCAAATGTATTATTGTTTTAAGTATTTACGATATTGTTCTAATGGCTCAAAGGATATTTGATAGTTTTGTGGGTTTGCTGGAACTTTACATTTGCCTGAACCCATTGTGACTTGGTTTTTCCTTTCTGTTCAATAAAAGGATTTTACTACATTCAAAGGAATTTAAGTTTTCTAAGCTATATAACTAAACTGGAAAAAAAGTAATCAGGGTCCACAGAGAAATAACTAATTTCAAAAAATGTACAAAGTAATGAGCCTAGACAACTCATCATACCAGAAAGTAAGGAAGTTATTAATACTCCTGGGGTTGTGTCAGAAGGACTTAGTAGCCAACGTGATGACACTCTTTTTGCTCAAAAACATAATCTGAGCATCAAAAAGAGTAATGGTTACTCTGATTAAAACACATGAAGCCAGGTGTGGTGGTACATACCCTAATCCTAGCACTCTGGGAGGCTGAGGCAGGAGGATTGCAAGTTCCAAGACCAGCCTGGGCAATTTATCTACTTAAGCAAGACCCTGTCTCAAAAAATAATAAAATAAAAGGCCTGGGGGTATAGCTCAGTCCAAAAGCCCTGGGTTTAATCCCCAGTACCAAGGTGGAAAAATTCAAACGTGTTAAATACTCATAAATTCATAAAAATTTCACAGAACTCCTTTGGATCATGCTAGAGAAGCAGTGTTATTTTGTAAGGTGGTAAATAGAAAGAGCATCTGTCTGTCTTTGTTGAAATAAGTATATTTGGTTTAGTGGGGTGATCGATGAAGAAAAATATTTCATAGAATCTCAGCTAGTGAAATGGAGAAGAAATGGTATAATTAGAATATTATGATTTTGCAGCTTCTTGTGAAATAGCCCTGGTGGCCATTAATGATTGCTTAAATGATTTGATTTGGGAAACTTTCCTGAACAGGGTAACTGTACCCGAACCCCCTTATTACTCCTAACACAGGAGATACAACCAGGTATTATGTGCTTTCAGTACCACCTATGAAATATTTTAAAAAATTAAATATGAATTAGATCAAGCCATTATATAGATAACCAGTTTATAAAAAATACACAGGATAAATGGACGTTGAAAATACAACAGAGATGCAATTAACCACATCTAGAGCAGAGATATTCAATAGGATAAAGTCTGGTTTCTTCATCAACAAAAGTTTTTTAAGGGAAAAAAAATGAAGAAGGTTAACACAGATCAAAAGACACCAATGAGTAGAAAACTAAATCTGAGTTTGTCTGGGATAATCTTTCTGCATCTATTAAGATAGGTAATGATTGGGCCGGGGATTTAGCTCAGTGGTTCTGGTGCCTGCCTCACAAGCGCAAGGTCCCGAGTTCGATCCCCGGTACCAAAAAAAAAAAAAAAAAAAAAGATAGGTAATGATTAAGAATGGATCCTTTTGCTTTGAGAAGTTGGGGCAATAAACTATATAATCCCCTACTTGCAATATATCAACCTTATCTAGCGATTAATTCTGGTTCAAATAAACCAATTGTGGAAAACATTTGAGATATTTGGTGGAATTTGAACACTGTAGACTTTTGATATGAAGGAATAAATGTTAAATTTTTTAGATGTGACAGTGGTCTTATATGGTCTTAACTCTAAGAGGTACATGCCAAAGTAAATGGATGAAATGATACTGGATTTGCTTCAAAATAACTCTTGAGTATGAGAAGAAATAGGTGTTCAGTCGTGTTTTATCTGTAACCTATGTGTTGCTAAATGTTAAGGCCAGACAATGAATATATCTGTTTCCTCTACTTTTATATGTGTTCTTAAAACTTTCATTTATGGAAATGTCAAGGTAAGGGAAAGTGATATATCCAGTAAAGCATTGGCAATTTTATTTTAGTAATGATTGCTTATTTACATTGTACAGGGTATAAACGAATGTTGGGAGGCTTCAAAGTCAGAGATCACTGAAAAATTAAATGGACATAAAGCAGAAAATGAGAGCCAGCATGATATTTTTCTTAGCCGGATAAGAACTGATGAAGAAAATTTGTTAGCACAAAGTCTAGAACTTAATGAAACTACAAAACTGGGTCTGAGTAAGCTTAATTGCTTTCTGCAGCAAGATCTCAAATTGGATATTGCAACAGGTACTTAAAAAGGAAATAGAATTATTTAACATTTTGAAGTTGAGTTCACAATGTTAGGTTTGTTTGTTCAGTTTTTCTTTTTTTTTGTAATGTTAGGTGTTCTTTAAAACTGAGTCTTCCCATTGCCGAATAGGAATTTACGATTTCATTGTAATCAATTCAAATATGGAGAAATTGGAAACCTAAAATAATTTTCATCAAGTGTTTGATGTCTTGATAATAGGCAGTATGTACTTTTAGAAATTTGGGCATCATAATTTAGAAAATTTTACATTCAGGGAACTAGCTTTGTTAAGAAAAGACTTTTTTTTTTTTTGGTACCGGGGATCAAACTCGGGACCTTGCGCTTGTGAGGCAGGTGGCGGAACCACCGAGCTAAATCCCTGGCCTAAGAAAAGACATTTTATTTTTGTTTTGGTTGGTTGGTTTTGTTTTCAGACAGAGTCTCTCTGTAATTCACAATAACTCAAAACTCATGGTGATCCTCCTGCCTCAGCCTCTTGAATGCTAGGATTATAGGCATGCACCACCATGCCCAGCTAACAAAAGACTTTTATTTTTGAGAGGCTCTCTCTTTGTAGTTCATGCTGGCATAAGGCGATCCTCCTGCCTCAGCCCAGCCAAGTGCTGGGATGATAGGTATGTGCCACCACACCTGGCTAGAAGAGACATTTTAAAAATAAAACTGACAAACCATATACCTAGGACTCTTTGTAAAAAGACAATTTTAATACCAAAACTATTGTAGGGCCGGGATGTAGCTCAGTGGCACTGTGCCTGCCTGCAAGCGCAAGGTCCTGAGTTCGATCCCCAGTACCACAAAAAACAAACTATTGCAGAAATGTAATTGAATAAATTGTAGTTTAATGCACACTGTTCACATTGTATATTTTTTTATATGTCCCTCTTATGAAGTGTTAGCATTTAAGAATCACCATTTTGAAAGATTGGGCATCACCATGAATTGTTAACATTTAGGAATCACCACTTTGAGAGAATAGGCATTGCAAAGATCAGTAGGCTATCAGGATTCAGAGAATCCTTTGTGGAACAAGGTTATAAGAAGTTGCTTTACACAGGATAACTAATTGGGGGGTTATTTGTTGGATTGTGGTAATGGTTGCATAACCTGTAAATTCACTAAAAATCATTGAATTGTGCACTTAAAAATGAGTGAATATTGTGGCATATAAATTACACCTCAAAGCTTTAAAGAAGCCATTAAAAAAGCAAATTGTGGTAAAGAATGGTGATTTATTTTTTCCCAACAGACCTATAAGATTTATTGTTCAGTCAAGCATGGTGGCCTACACCTGTAATCCCAGCACACGGGAGGCTGAGGCAGGAGGATAGCCACGAGTTCAAGGCTAGCCTGGGCTGCAGAATGAGTTCAAGGCCAGCTTGCACTACATAGCAAGACCCTGTTTCAGAAAAAACAAAAAACAAAACCTAAAAAAGATTTATTGTTCACTCATCAATGAAATTAGGAATGTTAAGTGAAAAGGCAATGTCTTTGTAAATTATAACAGCATGAACTCATTATGAAGAAATGTAAGTAGTTAATATTTGACTGTCATACCACATTTATAGTAAAATGATTACTCTGACCAAAGAAATCATATTGGGAAAACTGTACTGTCATTCCAATGATGCTACCATTTCTCACAACTGTGTATAATCCTTTTAGAACCTACCACACATCTTTTGCTGTATATCTTCAGAGGAAAACTTCACATTTTTGAGGTATTGAGAATGGTGAAATTTATTTAAGATCAGTTATCAAATTGGAGAATATTACTTTTTTTTTTCTTTTTTCTTTTCTTTTTTTTTTTTTTTTTGGTACCAGGGATTGAACTCAGGTCCTTGTGCTTACGCAGCAGGCAGTGGAGCTGAGCTAAATCCCCAGGGCTAGGAGAATATTACTAACTGCAAGCAGTATGTGCCTGACAGGTAGTAAGACTGATTCTCATGTATGGCAATGGTTGTACTTTTGGAAAACAAGACTCATTTGGAAGTATAAGTTTTAATGTATTTTTTTTCTTTCTGGTACTGGGGATCGAACTCAGGACCTTGTACTTGCGAGGCAGGTGCGGTGCCACTGAGCTAAATCCCTGGCCCCATTTAGTGTATTTTTAAAAATCTGTTTGTATACCAAACTTCAATTTTCCTCATTTGTCTAATGTCTGCAAAAGGTACAACACCACAGAGGAAACGTTATTTATACCCATCAACACTGGTGAGAACTGAACCACGAGAACAGCTCCTTGATCAGTTGAAAAAAGAAAGACCTGAGCTGTTAATGATGCTGACCCATTCAGAAAACAATGAAGAAGAGAAGAGTCAGGTAAAATTTGAGAACTCTCCTGTAAATTCTCAATGTGGTCGATTTTATATGAAGAGTGTTACTCTTTATGCTTCAGGCCTACCCTGTATCTTATAATTAAGCCTCTCATTTTAACCTCATCAGTTTTTAAGTATTAGACTAGTAGATAATAATAGCCAGTGTTGAAACTGTACTTATTATTTGCTGGATACTGTTCTAAGCTATTTATATGTATGTTAACGTTATTTCAATAACCCTATGAGGTGGATGCTAGTACTGCTGTATACACATCTTATAGATGAAGAAACTTAAGAATTGCCTCGTCCCAAGTCAAAAAGATGAAGTTGCAGTTAGAACCTATACAGTCAAACCCACAGTGTGTACTCTAGTGAATAATAATTGTAGAAAAGTTGAACATTTAGAAATTAACAAAGAATAAAAGTAAACTGTAATCCTATTATTCTGAGATTACCAATTTTAAAATTTTATTTTATTTATTTGGCTTTTTTGAGACATGGTCTTGCTAGACATGTTCTTCAGGTTGGCCTTGAACTCACTGTGTAGCCCAGGCGGGACTTGAACTTGAGACTATTCTCCTGCCTCAGCCTCCCGAGTGTTGGGCTTACAGGTGTGAGCCACCATACCTGGCTCTTACCAATTTTAAGATTGTAGAATAGGAACTTCTGCTCTTGATACTTTACTGGGGCTTGAACTTAGGACCTTGCGCGTGGGTGGCAGGCACAGTGCCACTGAGCTAAATCCCCAGCCCACTTCTGCTCTTTGTATAAAAACACAATAGGGATTATTTTTATTGCTTTGTCAACTTTCTACTAATTTTATTAAGATTGGACTTTTATATAATGTACATTATATCATATTCAAAGAAGAAAATTACTTTTGTGATAACATTTAAGCCATTGTATTTATTCACTCACTTCTTATTGTAGGTCATGAATGAAGAAAAGGAAGTTCTTGAGCAGTACATTGAACCTCTAAGTGAAAACCCACCTGCAGATGTCAACGTGGAGTGTTCAAGTGGTGGGGTTCCGTTTTTCCAGGTACTGAAGATAATCATTTCAGATACGCCTTACACATCTGCCCTAAGTCAGTCATCCTCTGTTCTGTAGAAAGGTATTACTTTTTTTGTAGAAAAACAAAATTTTCAGTCATTCTTTTAGAATGGCTTATTAATTTATGATTTAAATTGTGTACATAGTCTCATATTTGGGTTTTTTGGGGGGGTTTTTTGGTACCGGGGATTGAACTCGGGACCTTGTGCTTGTGCAGCATGCGCTGGAACCACTGAGCTAAATCCCCAGCCCTACATAGTCTGATATTAATAAGGGATTTCCTATAGGAGGAATAAAAAGCAAATATTTACTTTATATCCTTGGCTGGTAATTTTTGACTATTATATTTTCTCCCTTTCTGCTTTTTTACTCAGAATGGATACTGAGATCAGTCATTTCTGTCTTTTTTCTACCACTGACTCGGAAGTCTTAAGAGCCTGTCTCTCCGTCAGGCTTTGAAGGCTAAGGGGCTTATAATGGAGACACTGAAGGTCTCTCAGGTTATATGAGTGATTTTTCATGCCCAAGGCTCTTCTCTTATTAACCATTCCTCTCTTTCCTGAGTGTCTTGCTTGCTCTGGTCCTATTCAATTAAATGCTGTGACCTTTCCTTCCACCTTTTTAACGCTGCTGGAAACATGGCACTGTAAACTGCCTGTCATCTTTCCCACTATTTTGAAGGTATGAGCCTAGAAAAGTAAGAATTTCTTTAAGTAGGACATTGGTGTCTACATTTTATAGTTGAAATGCTGCTTCTGATTATGTTTGGTTATATCTATTTCTTTTTGAGATAAGGTCTCACTATTTCGGCTGATCTTGAACTTGCTATGTAGCCCAGGCTTGGCTGATCCTCCTGCCTCAGCTTCCCAAAGCACTGGGATTACAGGCATGCACCACACTGCTTGGCACTACTGACATTTTGAATTGAATAGTTGTTGTGGACTTTCCTGTTGATTGTATGATGTTTAGCAGCATCCATAGCTTCTAGTCACTAAAAGCCAGGGGCACTGTGAGTTTGTAAAAAACAAAAAAATGTCACCTTCGTGTCCCCTGCAGGGCAAAATCATTCCCTGTTGAGAATTATTACCCTATAGTAAAATTTATAATTATGCCTTAGAAAATAATGCAGAAAATTAGTCTTTCTCCCCCTACTGCTTTACCAGTGAAGGTGGTAAAACAAGGAAGGTGTTCACCTGTACTTGCCAGAAAAAAATGGTTAGCTCAAATTTGTGCTGAACCTTTTCTGAAGGTTTTCATAATTCAGCTTTCTTGTTTATAACCCACAGAACTTATGAAAATAATGTATAGCTCATGAATTCAACCAGTAACATGCTAGCAGGGCTGGGGGGAAAGAGGAACCCTGCTCCACTGCTGGTGGGAGTGTAGACTGGTGCAACCACTGTGGAAATCAGTATGGAGATACCTCAAAGAA